GAGCCCAGAGCAGGACGCTTTCCGTCAGCCTGTAAAGGTTTCGGGACCTGACGCCAGCCTGACATGTTGTCTGAGTGGACAAAACGTGGTGATTTTTTTTTTATCTGGGGACAAAAACACCTCAGCGCATTGTCAGCCATCATTTCCAAACAGTTTATGTGTAACAGCTTCTCCCGTTGTGACCATTGGCCAAAGAACGGTCTGCCCTCGAGTCCCAGTCGATTGCTCTCCAAGGTCTGATCGACCTTGAGGCGGAACAGACCGGATGCCCATGCCTGAGGTGGTACGAGCGCTTTTAACCATACCTGCTGACGATGAGGTCATCAGACCCAGCATTTTCTGAAACCTTTTGACTATAGTGCCGCAGCGGAAGGATTCGATTCAATATTGATTATTTTGGATATCAGTTACAATAAATGCCAAATTTTCTCAAGGAAATCAAATCTCTTAACTAATGCTGTAAACTATGGGGGTCTAATTGCTAAAAGCCTAATATGAAAGAAATAATGAACTTTTTTGTAGCTATACAAACACTTAAATTACACTTTTATTTATTTTTTTAATAAGAAGATTATATGAAATATAAACATTTAAATGGTGGCTGTCATAAAAACTTGCCAGATTTATTCAAATATTCATTAATTATTGAAGAACAGTAAGATTATAATGCATATGTAATATGTGTATATATTTAGCAAAATGCTCCTCTCTAGAGTTATTTTTTCTAGCTGACTAACGAGTTTATGTGGGTTTTCTGAGGTAAATATGACGATACATGACATTGATTACAAGCTGTTTAACTGACGTCTTTCCACGGTTGAAACGCTGATTGAGCGAATCAATGTGACATGATACGGATTTCGATAAGTTGTACTCTTATCTTTAAATACACTTTCAGATGCTCATTCATGTTTATTTCGCGCGGTAACTGGTATTATTAAGCCGGAAGAGAGATCAGCGCTGCTGCTTCTCTTGAGCTCCACCAGAGCGATCTCACGCCACAGCGCCAAAACGTTATTTATGTTTTTGAATTTCTAAAGAAAATGGACGTAATTTGAAAATTGAGACTTTGTTTCATATCAATAGTAACAAAGGACAAAGATTATTGCGATTTTTTGGATGCGCGCAGCTGCGATACAATGTTCCATTCATTCAAATGAAACAGGATGACTAATCGATTCTTGAGATTTAAGAATCGATATCGGTTCAGAAAAATGAGAATCGATTAATATCGAGAAATCGATATTTATTACCCAGCCCTAGTTTTCACCCCTTGTAATTCTACTATTCCAAACAATGACGGCAATGTTTGTTTCCTAAACTGTGCATTATATGTAATTCATACATGTATGGATGTATCACAAGAACAATGTGAAATGGTTACTCATCCAGTTCACCCAGAATCTGTGTACTAAACATTATGCATAATCAAATCATAATTCAGCTATCTTCCGATTGTCAGTGGTGCCTCAGAGGTCTTTTGGAACACAGTTATAGACCTCATAAATAAAATTAAGTCATGCAAAATGTTTTTCTGTATGACACCCTGGAAGATATTTCTCAGTACCTTAGTCACAGCCCTACAGGGTTTCTCTAATTAAATTTGCCCTTTAATGAACAAGCTGACGTATGTGCTTTTTTTTTTTTTTTTTTTTTTTTGATAAAGAGATGTTTAAACCAACAGAAGATAGAAAATAAACTTTAAAAAAGAGAATAAGGTGTTATTTATCAGAATAAGGTGTGGAATCTTTTTGTTGGCACATCAAATGATTAATAAATTTCTATTTTACACTTAACAAATGACAAAGAAGATTTAGTGTGATCCAGCCCTTCATGCAGATATTTTGAGTACATTCAAATGGTATAGTAATATTAAGCAAAATCGATGTAACTTTTTCCTAGGTAGTGCCTGTGTTTTAGCAAATCTAAGTACAGCCATTTCTACTTACAAATCTGATGCGATGGTAATATACTTAACTGAGCCCAAACAGGTAATTTTTGAGTATAAAATGAACTTAAGAGAACAAAGACAACATTAAAACAAAACAATGTAAATGAAAATAGCAAATATTGAAACCATGCAAATTTATCAAACAGTAAAAAATTCATAAATTTTTTTAAACAGGAAAGTTATTTTTCATGGTCAGAAAGATGCGATTCTTGCGAGTCTATAAGCATAACTTCTCCTCTATCAACCAGTCAAGGTTGATGATTGTACAATCAGTTTGCTGGAGGAACAGATTATTCGATAACAAATTAATTCCATAATGGTTATCCTTGGAATCAAACTTTTCTAGACAATTTACATATTAATATTTAATTATAATTCAGTGATTAATTATTGATATATACAATTGATCTATTTTTGCCTACCTGTGTGGATAATTGATTATAATCTATTGTATTTAAGTGTCCATACAGATACATTGGCAATGTATCCCCTTTACGGGTAAATTTAATCTGTGTATGTGATCCCTGACAACGCATTCTCACCCCAAGGCGTCACCTTTTGACCATGCTTCAATATTCGACGCTTTAGGCGCCCTTTCGCGTCAGTTACATGACGCGATCCTACGGCGTCATCTAACTGACGCTAATGGAAAAGCATCAGTTAGATGACGCGGGTAGGTTTAGGTCTGGGGTAGAGGTAGGGTTACACGCGATCCTAGGGCGTCATCTAACTGACGCTAAAGGGCGCCTAAAGCGTCAGATATTGAAGCAGAGCCGGCTTCAGACCGCTTTTAGCAGGGGGGCATTTATTTTCAATGGGTGGGCACTAGGTAGGTATGGGGACTTTTTTCCCGATATTAGATATCCTATATTTATTATTGCTACTGCCTTTTCTGTTAGCTATTAACATGAAGTAATGCAACCCACACAATAAACACATAAAACATTACACATTGTTGCAAGACGAGCGACTCTTAAGAAATTTGATCAAGGGTTAAATAGGCCTATACAAAAAAAAAATTGCAAGACCGACTCTGACCACAGCTTTATAATAGCAAAGCTAACGAACATGTACATAGTCTCTCACTGACAGAATAGCCGTTTATATGCTATCTCAATGGCGGAAGTGAGAAAAAAAAAAGCTAAGTTACTCATCTTTATTCTGCTATGTTCTAACATAAGCATTTACATTCGTAGCCTTAAAAAAGCATCATGTAGTTACCTTTATCAAATAAAACCTTTAACACCTTTAACAAATAAAAAACACCCACAACATATTATTCTACAATTTCCATTTACAAGAAAATATGCTTAAACACTCCACGGCGGGAGTGAGTGACATTTCAGGACAATGGGCAGCGCAAAAACTAGGCCAACTAAACTATTAGTTTTATCACGTGACAACACATAGTGAACATTACAGTACATGCCAGTTAGATAAAAAGCTACACTTACGACTCGGACTCGACTGTCTTTGGTCTCGGTCTCGACTACAACACTGCACGGTAGAAGCACCAAATACCAAAGCCGGGCTGTCGTTGTCTTGCTGTATGGGGTAATCGATGTATAAGGAGAAACTGTGGTATTGAACCATTTTCTAATTTCCATTTTTGGAGAGTTTTCATCTGTTTGCTTTGTTTTGAATGCAGGAAGCTCGCGCGGTGGCGCCAACTGAAAATCATTTCATTCAAGTATTAACGTGCGTGATTGGGGGGGGGGGGCGGCAGGGGGGTTTCCTCACAGCGTCACACTGGTTTTTATGTTGGCTTTATTGTATTTTCAGCTAATGAGCCGTTTGTAGACATATATTTGTACTATTTCTCACTGAAATGTGAATTAAATTAAACTGATATTATTTTGTAAATTATATCATAATTCAATTTGGGGGGGCACAAAATACATAGCGCCGGCACTGTATTGAAGCATGGTCAAAATGCTTCCCAAGACATCAGTTAGGTGACGCCTTTACAATTATATTCCCTTTATTTAATTAGAGTCGCTACACCATCACTAATATAGAGTTTGAGAAAGGACCTTGTAGGTCAGGGATGATTCATTTAATGTCTGTGAGTGCTGTTGTGTGCATGTTTTTGTGGAGTAGATTTTCTAATCCCCTTGAGTTAAAAATGGCAGCATCTGACCCATTAACCGAAGCCAACCCAATTTTAGTTTTCTCAGGCAATAGTTTGAGCGTCCTTCTTTCTGTCCGGAGGGACCGCAATAACATAGACCAAAAGGAGCGAAAGGGGCCAATGAAACAGTTTTTGCATATTGTCCTTTGGGCTTGACTGAGATTAGAGAAATTAGAATATTCCTAATGTTGGCCAGTAATCCCATAGTGCCTTTTGGGAAATCAATACTGTTACAAAGAAGACCGGGGTCTCAAATTATGTCTCCCTTGGCAGCAGTGGGGAATCTCTTTTGACGAATGTCTTTATGGTAATTGCACAGCCCTACGAACCTTGTTTCAAGACACTAAGGCACTTGTTCTGGTAACTTCATATGTTTGTTTTCTGACTTTCTTTAAAGGACGACAAGGGGGGAAAAGAGGACAACAAGTTCTAACTAACAATTAGGAAGCAATAAAAACATCTCTTCCTTGTCAATTTGTATAATTAGTGCTTTCACCCACTGTGTTTTTCATGCCTAGTGATTCTAAACACTGTTCGGCATGATGGATGTAGGATGGATGTGGCATGATGGATGTATCTTGCCTACTCATTTCCCTCATGTCACAGGGTTAACAGCTTTTTCTAGAGATTTTTCTCCAGATAACATGTGCTTCCTGCTCTGGAGATAAAACATGCAAAGTAACTTCAAAGTTCTAATCTTATACAGTATTTCTGATTCAACCGGTTTCTTTAGTTCAACCTCAGCTTGCCAATGTTTGGCCAGCAGATTTATATGCAAACCATTAAATTATATGTAATTAAATTGTCTTTCAAAGTATATAAAATATACCACATCCAAAGAAACACTGTACTTAGCCGTGTGCAATAATATCAATTTAAATCTATAATTTATGAAATTCGATTCATTTAAATACAACATCAGAATACAAATCAGTATTCTTTATTTCACATACATGTATTTTTTTCTTTTACTTTGAACTCTTTACAATCTAAATGATTCAACAACAAAATGAGAAACTACCACAACAAAGTTGAATTTCTTACTAGGGAAGAAAAGGAAAGGAAAAAAATAATAATAATGGAAGCTTGACTTGAAATGGAGACATTTTGTATTTTGTACCAGATAAGGGGTTAGGGTCATGGAAATGAACAAGAGCACAACTAAAAATTGCATGTGTTAATTCATGTGTATACTTACATCAAAATCAAAGAAAAAAAAAAAATCATGAATTTCAACCATTTGAAAATCTTTACCTTGTATTATTGAGTTTTAACATAAAGGCTTTTGTTAATAAATAATCTCTCTTCTTTTTTTTCCAGATTATAAACAAATATAATATTCTTCATATCAGGAGAATAACTTGGGGTAGACAAACGGCATACACGTTCCTCTGAGTAACATTTCACACCTGCAAAAGCCCTTTGTCCTCCATCCTCAAACAGTTTGAGTATAGCGAGACGATGGCTTGGTCATACAGCAGTTCCTTTGAATCATGGAAAATGTGAATTTTGGCGATAATTGCATTTTGTGAACAATGCAATAAAAGAAAGTGTTTATACATGTCAACATACACATACATAACTGAGCATTACGTACATATATGCAGGATAATGAGGGAGAGAACAGATTCCCGATCATCTGTTGTTCGCAGTGAGAAAGCATGTGCGAGTCTCAGCAAATAAGAGTAATACTTGAATTTTACAAATTGGTTCTGTACACAATTTGTGTTGGAGTGTTGGTGAACATCCCCTCTTACCAAGAGGGTTTCATATAAATTGAAAATAGTTTGTTATTGACACATATTATTCCCTTTGCGTATCCAGTGAAGTTGAATCTCAGGGACAGTTGAGTTGCCTGGCATCGATCTGATCAATTCATGTTCCAGGTGCCATTTGTCAAATCACGATCTGTGTAAATTCCGACTGGTATTTCTTTAAAAGTTTTAAATCATTTTCATGTTAAAGCGCCGTGGCCCAGCACCCTGGTCCGCCTCCTCAGCGGAGGTCCCATTGGACTTTGAGCGTGGCACGTACTCAATATCAATGTTGTTTTTATGTTTGCCTTTTCCTCGACTCCATACAAACAGGAGCAGGAAGCAGAAGAGGACCACTCCTAGGAATGTGAAACAGCCCATGGCTGTAGAAACTAAGATAGTCTTTAGATCAAGGCCAAAGGTCACATTAGGGAGGTTTGTACCATTGGCAGTGGCATTGCTTGTATCCGTGTAATGCTGGGTCCTGTTGGCATACAGCGAGCCCAGGCTTTTCACTGCCAGTGAAACCATAAGAGTGTCATTGCCTGCTGTGTTAGAGGCCACGCACATATACACACCATCATCCTGAACCTCAGCCGCCTTGATATCCAGCGAGCCATTGTTGTGGACCACCACCCTGCCGTGGCTCCTGTTGGTCAGGTGTCTCCGGCGTGGGGTGACCCAGAAAATAGTGGGCAGCGGGGACCCCTCTGCGTTGCAATGTAAACGGGCCGACTGTCCCTCCTCCACTGACACCATCTGAGTCCGATTTTCACGGATCTTCGGCTTGGTGCAGGTCACGTAGTAGGACAGCAGGGTCTCTTTGAACTCCTTGAAGGGGCGTCCATGGGTGCCCTCCGGAGTGCTGCACTCAGGCTGGATGTCTCCGAAAGAAATGGAATGACGCCTTTGCTGCAACCACATGAGACGACAGTCGCACACCAGAGGGTTGTTGTTGATCAACAGCACCTGTAGAGCCTCAGGAGCATGAAATACACCCCTCTCCAAGGTATCAAGATGGTTGTGGGAGACATTTAGCAAGCGCAGCCAGCGTATACCCTGGAAAGCATAGGGTTCAATGGACACCAATTGAGATCCAGACAATCTCAGCTCGCGCAACTGGACCAGGTCCTGAAGCAGACCACCTTCCACTGTTCGGATACGACTGTAGGAGAGGTTGAGGTGCGTGAGGTATGACAAGTGGCGAAGAGCCTGGTAGGGGAAAACGGACAAGTTGGTGTTGGTAACGGAAAGCGTGGTGAGGTTTAGGCCATGCAGAGAATTAGCGGGGAACAAATCCAGCGACGGCCAGTTGCTGATCTCTAGGTGTCTGAGGTGAAATAGCTTCTTGAAGGAGTAGGGGTGGAGAGTGCTGATACTGAGGTAGCGCATATGTAGGCTCACCAGGTTGTGTAGGTGGGACAGGGCATCTGTGGGCACCACCGTCAAGTTACAGCGCTCCAGAGTAAGACTCTCCAGTGACAACAGTCCACTCAAGGCCCGATGGGAGATGTAAACCAGCTCGTTGTCTCCAACTTCCAATGACCTGAGGTTGCGCAGGTCCTGGAACATATAGTCCACCAGAATTACTACTTTGTTGTCACTGATATCCAGGTTTGTCAGGTTGGAGAGGCCAGAGAACACACCTAGAGAGAGGAGTTTGATGCGGTTGCTCTTTAAGCTCAGTGAGTGGAGGCTGTAGAGGGAGTTAAAGGCTCCGGGCTCAACATAGGCAATGATGTTTCCACTCAGGTCCAGTTCTTCTATGTGTGGATAGGCGGCAAAGTCATCGGGATTGACAGCCTGAATGCGATTCTTGCTGAGATCAAGGATTCGCGTCTCGATTGGGACTCCATCAGGGATGGCGTTATAGCGCTTCCGGTGACAGATGACAGAGCGGCTCTGGGCGGAGCACTCGCAGCGGGAGGGGCAGGCCAGGGTGGAGCCCACAAACACGGCCACCAGGGCTAGCCCCAGCAAAGGCTGCCAGCAAGACACGGCTGTGTGCAGCATGATTCGATTTAAACAGTCCACCATACTGTCATGGCTCTGAAAGAGAGAGAAAGATGAAATGTTAGTAAATGAACAAATGGACAGATGTCTTGGCATATAATATTACATAAAGAATATGGCAAAAAAAGGTTACTTAACCAACAAAAGGTTAACCAATACCGATGGCTAGTAGCTACAACATGGATCCATCAAGAACAGCAGGAGACACCACTTAATGGACTTGATATGAATTTGTTTGCACCGCACATAGAGAACAAACTGAAGATTGGTGCGTCCATGCACAAATAAAAGAAAACTGCCTCAGTTCTTGCTTGTGGGATTGTATGTGCATGGATTGATTCTTTGTGTGCACATGAATTCACAGCCCTATGGACGTCCTGCTGTTTTTCTTTCTCAGTCTGTTCAGTACTTTTGAAGATTTGTACTTTCTCAACATTTGTTTGTGGTTTGGCAGTTTTCAGTTTATTCATTAAATACTAAATTATAAACATTCATAGAGCACTAATTAGAAACCAAAGACCATAGAATACACAAATAACTCGTTGACTTAAAATAAAAAGATTTTATCTGCAGGATTAAAGTGGTCTCTAGAGTCTGTTATGCACATTTATTTTGGCTAAAGAGAAGCCTATTGCATCTGATGCTAAACACAATAACCAGATGACAATAAAACATGTGCAGCTTCTTGTTTCTTAAAAACACCTGTGCCGTTTCTTGTAGCCTTGATGTCCGACTCAGTCTGTCCTTTGTCAGAAATTATTCCCAGACCTTCATAAAGGCCTTGATTTTAAACACTGTTTTTTATGGAAATTGGTGTACCTTCTATTGAACTTCAAAATTGAACGACAGGCAGTTCCTTGAAACAACTTTACTTCTCGACTGACATTTTATTTTTAACCTTTACCCTTCATCTACATGGCTCTATTGTGGTAACTACCACACCTTGGACAAAATCGAACCCTACCCTCAAATATTTCTCATTGAATCTCTTGTTTGAACTGAAAATATGTCAGATCAATAGAATGTGTTGTTGATTTTAGATGCCCTGTCAGTGTGATTACTATTGTTTTCGGGATGGTTTTTTTTTTTTGGCTCAGCATTGTGTGAAATATCTCACTGCCAGTCAACAAATTGCATTGGTGTCTGCCTGTGTGCATCAGCGAAAACAAGCACTCACACATGATGCATGTGGAGACACTTTCATAAATATCCTGCAGTGTAACTAAATGTGTTTGTTTGATTGTTTATGTAAATATGCAGTTTCAAAGAATGTGAGATGGCTGTTTGTATGTTGTTGCAGTCATAGTAACTTCTGTATTTAAATTGCATCTGATCTGAACATACAATAAATTGTAGCATGCACACGCCAAGTGACCTCTAGAGGGCAGGTTTGCATAATGTGGTGATTCAGTAACACAAACAAGGACATAAGTAATAATAGATTCAATAAAAAAATGCTATTATAATGGTGTTCATTTGTAAATCTAGACAATATTTAAATGAACAATAATTTTCAATTTTATCTAGATCCTATTTTTTGTGTCTATTTGTAGCTTGCACTGTAAATTATACACATACAATTACAATACAATAAATGAAGACAATATATCATCTAAATTAAGTAACATTGCAAGACAAAACTCACTGCATCCTTCAGTGAACAGCATAAATGAATATGTGTCAGGAATGTGTAATGAACTAGATAGTTTAATGACCTAAACAAACACTACCGTTTTTTTATCGTTCCAAATTTGGCAAAGATACATAAAACAATGTGATATTTGAGTAGAAAATGTAAAAGCTCAAAGATGAGTAGTGTGCAAGTGGGTGTGTGTTAGTGAAGCAGACGTTTTGTGAAACAGGTTGTGAAAAGTGCATAGACACATTGGCTCATCTAGTGTGTCTTGGGCACACTAAATTTAAACAGAGAGAAAGAGGTGCAGAAACCCCACAGGCACAAAACACAGTCTGGTCGAGTTGTATAACACGTATATGTACTCTCATTATGCAACATGAAATGCCACGCATCCATAGAGAGCAAATCACGTTTGAAATCATCAGCTGCAACCTTAATGTATGGTCTCCTCTTGCACGTAATGGGATAATTGGGTGCGGGTAGTGGTCGTGCAAGGAGATACATGGGTCTAAGTACTGCTAATTTTTCCTTATACCCTGAGAATGATCAGTTAAACAAAACAAAAACACAAAAACATTACACAACTGTGCCTTGTTCAGACAGTCTCTGTTTTGCCCGACCAAAATATATGCTAATCGGCACAAAAAAGTATTTGGTGTCCTGTTTATTTCTGGCTTCGTTTGCATTGACAATTATGCCCTGAAACTAAACAGAATAGGAATAAATGAGACTTAGCATGATAAAACAAGAACACTTTCCCCCTCATGGTAGGCCCATAGTTAGATTCCCACAATGAGCAATTTTAAGCCTTAAGCTTGTGTTGACATAGAGAGCATAGTCTCCCAGAGAGCAGGTGCTCACAGGGAAGAAACGCAAACATGACATCAGTGTTTGTGTCAAGAGTCTTATTAGGTGACACAATTAATCTCTCCGTCACTTACATGCACATACACACAGATACTGACAGACCCATGTATAAACACATATTTACAAATCCAAAGACAAGACAAAGATTTATATTTAATGAAAGTTTGTACCTAAGTTAACCTTTCACTGCCTTTAGTTATTTGCCCCAAGCTGTGCAATTAAGTAAATTTAGTTGCTTCTTTGTTAGCTATTCAATACCGTATTGATCCACTATTAAAGGGAGTTATTTATGGATTTAATTGGACTTCTCTCAAATCCATACAATACATTTGTACATGATTCAGGTCTAATGTCGAACACATTTTCAGATCTCAAGTGGTTTGGATCTGCTAATTACAGCATTCCAAACAGTGATTTGTTCCTTGTTTTGTAATGCTATAAATATAATGCTTTATTTAATGTTTAAACCTTTCATTGGGTATGGACTTTAACCATTGTGTATAGATTAGATTGCGAAACGTTCTCAGTATCCCTGCAGGATTGAAGCCTAAACTGCTTTGCTGGTCTTCGCTATAGTTTAAGATTGGTTTTCCAGCCTGTCCAAGCTGTTCAGCAGGTCTAACTGTTCTCTAAGCCTTAAGGCCCCTGCACACTGAGTCCAAAATTCACGTCCGAAATTTTCGTACGTTAAAAAATAAATACAACCACACGTTATGTCAATCACGCTTGCACACTGACTCCGAAACGTCCATTATATAAAAAAAAATCAGATCGGGTTAGATTTTCTGCGTTTTTCGTATTCGTAGCAAGCAGTTTGAATGGCGTTTTGACAATTCAGAGCCACCGAATCACAAATACGAAAAAACGAAACGAAAAAATTTCGGACTCAGTGTGTAGTGTGTTCCTTTAAATGTGCTAAAACCCCCTCTTGACCATTTCATAAATAACAATATTTCCTATACATCATGATGTATTTTACTTGCCAATCATTGCATTCACTTCTATATATGCTGACATGAGTATGCCTGTTAAAGAGATAGGGAGAGAAAGATAACATTTAAATGCCTGGGACATGTATTTTGTCCCAACTGGGCTGTTATCGGCTTAAAGTGTGTGAATGGTCCTCCCTAGCTCTGTTAACCAGACTAGAACCAAGTCTAATACCCTTACATGAGCTCTCCAGCATTTTCCGGTCTTTGCCCTGGCAGTTTTAGGCTTTAGATAGCAAACTGGACTCCTGTGCAATCAAGCAACAAACGTCATTTTAAGCAAGGATGTGCTATATCTCCACTCAGAGACGGACTTGGTCCTTCTGATGTGGACCACCTAATGTGATGACCACACCCTGCAAAGGCTCTGTGGAAGCTGGAGATATATTTGGTTAATTTCACAATAAAAAAAAGCCCTGACAAGACCATTATAGTTATACTATACCCAAAAAGCCAAAAACTGAATACGGTAAAGGGATTATGGGATGAAAAATAGTGTAAACTCTGGAATAATTTCACAAAATTAAATATAATCATGCGGAAAGAATGGGGTTCGGCATGTGAGAAACGTTTGCATGCATGGTCACTCCCATATTAGCATGTGAACTGAGACATGTCTTAGTTTGTATTTAAATTAAGCTCAATCAACAGCGTTTGCAGCATAATGTTTATTGCCAGTAAAAAAAGTTTCCATTAGTCTCTAATTTTCTTTCTTACTTAAATTATAGAGTTACAGTGAGGTACTTATTGTGGATGTGAATCAATGGGGCCAATCCTCAAACGTTAAAATCGTTTCAATGGTCCAGCCAAAAGATACTACAAATACATTGCAAGTTAATATGATTATTGTATGAAAAAATAACACCCACTCACTAAGATTTTCAAGGGCTCAAAGGGGTTATCACATCTTATGATCTTTTGACATATAAGAGGTGTTTGTATTAAAAGATTCTGCAAGTTTCAAAGCTTAATTCATCCTACTCATTATAAACAAAGCATTAAACAAGCTCCAAAAGCGACTCATTTCGATATTGCGGGATCAAAACTTTGGAACAATCTTCATAACATTGTCCGGAAAGCAGACACACTCTGTCAGTTCAAATCTAGCCTAAAAACAAATCTCTTTGGCCTAGCTTACACATAACACACTATAGACTTCCTTAATTCAAAATTAGGCTGTATAGTTTAGATCAGCCGGTACCGGGAACACGTCCCGTAAATCCTGATGTACTTGGTAGATCATAAGTAGGATGGCGTCTATGCTAATATTAGTCTCTCTGTTTATACCGAGGGACCCTCTATGGCGGACCTGCGCCTGGAACCAATCCCTACTCATCCTTAAAGTGCCGGCCTCATCGATACGACAGCCATCGGCACTGATCCTCAACAACTCGTCTCCAAACCGACGTGATTACTTCGATTTACAACAGATGGAAATGGACAAATACTCTTAATGTTTCGATCCAATTTGTTTTGTAATGCTACCCGAATCACAATGTTCCTTCGTTGGCCAGAGGAGAACTGGCCCCCGACTGAGCCGGGGT